CATCATCATCATCATCATCATCATCATCATCATCATCATCATCATCACCACTATTATTCTCTCACATATTACGTCCAGACTGCAATCTCCCTCCCTCCCCTCCCCCTAGGCTTTCTCCTCCACTACTGCCTTTATCCTCCCCCCTCCCCCAGAGAAGAGTAAGCCTCCCAGGGACATCAACAAAATCTCACAAGCTGTATGAGACCAGGACATATGATCACATCGAGGGTGAATGGGCAACCCAGGAGGAGAAAAAAGCTCCCTCAAGCGGGCAAAAGAGCCAGAGACCGCCCCCACTCACACTGTTAGGAGTCCCACAAGAACACCAAGCCAAAATACTGTTTGTTTTTGTGTTTGTTTGTTTGTTGAGATGGGGTTTCTCCGTGTTGCCCTGGCTGATCTGGAACTCACTCTGTAGACCAGGCTGGCCTGCAACTGGCCTGCCTGTGCCTCCCAAGTGCTGAGACTAAAGGCGTGAGCCACCACAGCCCAGCTATCGTAAGTGTCATGGCTCATACCTGATCCCAGTGCTGGGGATACGGAGACAAGAAGATCTCTGGCTAGCCGTTCTCACCAAAATGGTGAACCCCAGTTCCAGTCACAGATCCTGTCAAGAGTGATAGAAGAAGAGACCCTAACATTACCTTCTGGCCTACACAGATACACACACACACACACACACCACCAGGGAAGACTGAGAGATTGGAGACCTCTGAAAACCCCAGCAGGAGCTGACTCAGGACTCTCTCTGGCTTTGTCTCTCATATCGCCAGCTCCGGCAGGGTGGTGCCTGGCTGCCGGGTAAAGCTGGTGAATCAGGATGCAGACGGCATTGGTGAGATCTGCCTGTGGGGCCGCACCATCTTCATGGGCTATCTGAACATGGAGGACAGGACATGTGAGGCCATTGATGCCGAAGGCTGGCTCCACACAGGTGACATGGGCCGCCTGGATGCTGATGGCTTCCTCTACATCACTGGGCGCCTCAAAGGTGAGTGCCCCTGCCCTGGGGCACACAGGGGAGGGGAGGAGCCATGAGTGCCTAGTTGAGTCTGCTTGCAGCACTGTTCATCTCCACTGCCAACCCTGAGCCTTCACTGAGGGTTACCCGCCTCTGTCAGCATCAGCTCTGGGGCAAGCACTTTCACAAATACACAAGGGTGCCCAGAGAGGTTAGAAAACTAGTTCAGGGTCACCTGGATAGTAAATGGGGTGGGCGGAGATGGGGTTCACTTCTCCAGAAGAAACAACCAAGACTTGAGGAGCCTCGAAGGCATAAGTGTTGTAGATGTTTGTATAGAGACACAGAGAGTAGAGCAGAGTGACTTCAAATTTTAAATAAAACAGGACATTTTCTGCAGAGGAAGGGCAGGGGAGGGAGGCGCTGCAGAAAGGCAGAAGGCCTGCCTCACTGTCAGCATTGTTCTGGCCTGTGAGCTCTCGCAGTAAAAGCCTGCAACAGGTAGCTGCTGTGGGAACCGTGCCGGCTTCTGCCACCTCGCGTTCACTTCTGTAATGACAAATGAGGAAATCTGCATTCCACCCTCCCGATGAAAGCCCTGCTTTTAGATCTGGGGTTCTCGACTTGGGGGTCGAAGGAAGGACACCTCCTCAGCGGTCGCATATCCAGTATCCTGCATATGAGATATTTACATTACGATTTACAGCAGTAGCAAAACTGCCTCTATGAAGTTGCAATGAAAATAATTTTCGGTTGGGGGTCACCACAGCCTGAGGAACTGTATTAAAGGGTCGCAGCGGTAGGAAGGTTGAGAACCGCTGTTTTAGATTGCATGGCGAAAGGTTAAGAATCCAGATAACCAGCCGGGCATGGTGGTGTACACCTTTAATCCCAGTACTCAGGGAGGCAGAGGCCGGTGAATCTCTGTCAGTTTGAGGCCAGCTTGAGGTCCATCTTTGAGGTCAATCTTGAGACCCTGTTCTGTTCCACGGCACCAATGTCGCCTGAGCAGCTTTAGGGCGGACCAAGGTCTGGTTCTGTGGGTCCTCTGATCTTTCCTGATATGGTGGTGTTGGACATTCCTATCATTTGCATTTCCATTTGAATTTTAGCCACCCTGGGTTGACGTACGCAATAGTTGGCCTTGATGACTTTCATCTCGCTGAGTTTGTAGATTCATTTTAGGAGGTTGTACATCTTTCAGAGTTGAGTCTGCCAGTCCTTAAATGTGCTAGCCTCCCCTTCTGTTTACTTAGGTCTCTTGACTTTTCCCTCAACAGTGTATTCTAGTTTTCAGTGTAGAGTTGTTTTCATCTATTCGCTTTAAGAATTTTATTTGTGTGCTGTTGTAAATAATGGCATTTAAATTTTTTCATTTGTTTGTTGCTGAGATATAGAATGCAATTAATTGTGGGTTTTTTTTTTTTAATATTGGTCTTGGGTCAAATGTCTTTTTGTTGTTGTTGTTGTTTTGGGGATTAATTATAGTCTTCGAGCCAGCTGGTCAAGCACTCTACCACTGATCTATAGCCCAGACTCTTTTTACTTGAGGACAGGGTCATGCTATACTGCCTGGGCTGGCCTCGAACCTTTACTCCCTGTGCCTTAGGCTTGCCAAGTAGCTGGAATTACAGGTGCCATTAGGCCTTGCTTCAAATGACCATGAGGAGTTCACATAGTAGTTGTTTTGGAGTCTTGTGTTTGTTTTGTCATTTGTTTGTTTGTTCACTTTTTTTTATGATTTGTTCATTTATTATGTGTACAATGTCCTGTCTGCATGCAGGCCTGCAGGCCAGAAGAGGGCACCAGATCTCTTAATAGATGGTTATGAGCCACCATGTGGTTGCTGAGAATTGAACAAAGGACCTCTAGAAGAGCAACCAGTGCTCTTAACCTCTGAGCCATGTCTCCAGCTGCTGGTTGTTCATTTCATTAAACAGGGTTTTGCTAGCTAGCCCAAACTGGCCTAGAAATCATAGCAATCCTTCTTCCTCAGCCTCCTGAGTGCCGGATCACAGGTTTTGTGACGCATGCATGGCTGCTATTGATTTTGTGAAGTGCTCTAGAATGAAATCAGGACGTTGTCCACAGTCGGCAAGCACTCTTCCACTGAGCTGCTCTCCAACCCTCATGCCAGTTCTAGCGTGTGTCCTTTTAAATTTTTGTGGACAAAATTATGTCATCTGCACATACTAACATCATCATCATCATCATTATTATTATGCCTCCTCACTCAGGTTAGGAAAACTTACTCTTTCACAGTATTGAACAGAAGTGTCAACAATTGGGCTAGGTTTGTCCACCAGACAAAAGAACAGAAAGAAAAAGGAAAAAACAAAAAAGAACAGAAGAAAAATGTGTGATGGAGGCAATTTTTGTTTTGTTCCTGATCTCAGCAGAAAGTCTTCAACATTTAAAAGAACTCTTTTGTTTTGTTTTGTTTTTTGTTTTTGAGACAGTTTCTCTGTGTAACCCTGGCTGTCTTGGAGCTCACTCTGCAGAGCCGGCTGGTCTGGATCTCACTGAGATTCACCTGCCTCTGCCTCCTGAGTGCTGGGCTAAAGCCACCACTGCCTGGCTTTAAAAGCATTTTTAGATTTTGGCATTTTGTTTGCACATGCACAACCGTGCATGAATGCCGTGACTCCTGTGTGGAGGTCAGAGGACAACCTTCAGGAGCCAGTTTTCACCTTCCACCTTCCTGGAGCAGGGCCTCTTTTCACTGCATACTCTGGGCTAGCTACCCATGGGCTTCTGGGTAATGCTCTTATCTCTACCTCCCACCCTGCCGTAGGATCACTGGGATTACAAATGTGCACCGCCACACCTGGTTTTTCCCATGGGTTTCCGGGGAATTGAACTTGGGTCGTCCGGCTCACTCATCTTGTACTTCCACCTGCTCTGCGCGGCCCAGGGCCTATCCTCCCGCTGCTAAGTATGTTTGCTGTAGGTCTGTTACAGACAGTCTTCATTAGATTTAGGAAACTCCATTCCACGTTGGTTTTCTAAAGGGCTTTAATCACACATTGAAGGTTCTGGCCGGAATGGGAAGGGTGGGAGCGACAGAGAAAGGCAGGAGAGAGGCACACAGTGAGCAAGGCTGGAGCTGTCTCTTCATGTTTCCAGAGGTTTGTCTTTTCTTTGTTTCTTTGTTTGTTTGTTTGTTTGTTTGTTTGTTTGTTTGTTTTTCTCCTCTGCCCTGTGCTGTTCCAGACAAACCCTGATCATTTGAGCTTTCCTGTGGACTCCTCTCGAGACAGCTCATCCTCTCAGTAACTCCCTTCCCTTTAATCACTGGAATATTCTAAAACTTTGGCCCAGAACACTCAGTGCTTCCCACCTTCAGGGAGGCTTTGCGACCATTGGTCCTGAGCCCTCTTCACGCTGGTTCACCCACAAAGGCTGTGTGCTTCCACTGTGTCCCGGGCTCTGCCTGTCAAGCCTCTCTTCGGGTTGCTCAGCTGTGGGACTATGTGTGTCCTGTCCCTTCCCTACAGCCCCCTCTCTCCTGTCGGCCCTACTGAACTGTGAGCTCCTCACAACTGGGCGCTGTCTGGCTCTGCTCTCTGCCTGCCAGGTCAGGATGGACCTGGGCACAGAATGTGGCCAGTGACCTTTTTTGAATTAGATAACACAGGAGGAGACAATCTCACAAACCAGTCAAAGTATATTTAATACATTTACTTCATACAATTTTATCTTATTACTGTTTTTCCTAAAAGGCAGTGGGTTTGTTTACACTTTGGCTGGACCTAGGGGGAAAAGAAAAATTTCAGCTCCTCTCTGCCTTGCCTGCAGTGTGCTGCCACAGTGTATGGAAATGCAGGGCATGGGTGTATAGGGAAAGAAATCTGTCAGGATCTTATTCTGGGAGATGGCTCTTCCTCTGAATGAAAAAAGAAAAAAAAAATGAAATGAAAGGACATGACTGGTTCCAGGCTTTAGCACCAAATGAAAGAAAGAAAAGAAAAGAAAGAAAGAGAGAGAGAGAGAGAAGAGAAAGAAATAGAAAAGGAAACATGACTGGTCCCAGATTCTGGTACCAAATTAATGAAAAAGATAAAAAATAAAGGGAAAGGAGAAGAAAGATGACTGCTCCTAGGTCTGGCAGAGGAGAACGTTTATTAGAGGTATGTGAGAGAGCACAGCCATAAGCAGGGACATCTTGGAAAGTCCAGACTGGACATGACCAGACAGCCATGCCGTGTGAGGAGAGGGTGAGGGGAAACAGGTGTGGCACCAGGAGGCCCAATGGTACAAAAGGAGCAGGCAACCAAAATGGTTGGATTATACAGGGAAGAGCAGCCTGGCCTTCTGGGCTAGCAAGTTCGGGTAGGAGGGGGGTGTGCCTGCCAGGGCGGTCCTGTCACTGGTAGGGACGGAGGGACGCAGGGAGAACCTGGAGGCCAGGACCACTTTGATATGATCACAGCCTGAGGAACGGAAGATGTAGTAAGCAGTTGTCCTGAGGGCTGCTAGTGGGCCAGGCCCTGCTTCTTGGCTCCCAAGAGGTCATCTCCAGCACTATGCTCGCTGCTCAGGCCCCTCCAACTGCGGCCTAGGACCGTGGCTCAGCCAGGGCCTGCCTTGCCTCCCCAGAATTAATCATCACTGCGGGTGGGGAGAATGTGCCCCCGGTGCCCATTGAGGAGGCTGTGAAGACAGAGCTGCCTATAATCAGCAGTGCCATGCTGATTGGGGACCAGAAGAAGTTCCTGTCCATGCTGCTAACCCTGAAGGTGCGTCCTGGGCTCTGGCTCAGGTGTAGCAGGAGGGTCTATAGGAGTAGCTCATGGTACAGCTGGCACTTACAGCTTTATCTGGCATCACTCAGCCAGCGCTGTGCACTTGGCGGGTAGGTGGGTATTTCTCTGCCCCATTGGGCTGCTGAGCGATCCTATCCACTTGCCAGTACATTCCAGTCTGCAAAGGTCTGGCTGCCTGCCCACATGCTCAGGCCGCCAGCATCACAGCCAGGCAGGATACGGCCCTGGAACAGGAGTTTGACATGGCCAACTAAGATCTGAGCCCGTCCACTGTTCCTCCCGCTTCTTCTTGGGGCTCAACACAGAATCCTGCCCATCTTAGAAGCATCACTCTAAAACCGAGTCCACAGGGATTTCCACCTGGGACATCCTGGGACATCCCCCCAAACCAGAGTGGGGCTCCCGGAGTGGGGGTGGATTTCCTCTGTCCTCTTTTCAGTGCACGCTGGACCCAGAAACGTCTGAGCCAACTGACAATCTGACAGAGCAAGCTGTGGAATTCTGCCAAAGGGTGGGCAGCAGGGCCACCACCGTCTCCCAGATCGTGGGCCAGAGGGATGAGGCTGTGTACCAGGCCATCCATGAAGGGATCCAGAGGGTGAACTCGAACGCGGCAGCCCGCCCCTACCACATCCAGAAGTGGGCCATTCTTGAACGTGACTTTTCCATTTCCGGTGGAGAACTGGGTAGGTCTTTCTTTTCACTGTTCCTGGTTGCCGTATGGGAGGGCAAAGCCCATGGCAGCAGCAGGGCAGAGCCTATTAAGCAGTAGCCATGCCAGCAGAGAGTGTCAGATAGGCCTTTGGACAGCATCTATGCTGGGTGCTCAGGCCTCTGATTCTATTCAGCCTGAAAAATAAGCAGTCACTCCATTATTGGATCCGCTGGATGCAACCACCTTGGATTAGAAATGCTAAGAGGGAAAAATGCATCCATCCTGAACATATAAGATGGGGTTTTTAATTTCCATCCTCATCTTTAAAATAATAGAGTGTAACTCCTAACAAAGTATTTACAGTGTCTTTGAGATCAAATATCATGCAGAGATGACTTAGAAGCATGCACGAAGACATGTGTTGGTCATATGCTAATATATGTCATTTTATATACAGGGCTAGAGCACTGTTGGGGTAGGAAGCTCCTGAAACTTGTGAACGCAGTGAATCACACATGTGCCAGAACTTGCCAATAAGAGCGTGAAATGTTTAGCTCTGCCTTGACCGCGAGCCTGTATTGTCTGCCGAGCTGTACTGCCCTCATCAGGCACACACCATAGCCATGCTGGCATTGGGGCTGCAGTCACTGTAGAGTGAGGCTCCTCTAGACTGTGATGTCAGCCATGGGGCTGTTCAAAGGACAGCTCTCTGGACCACAGTCCAAGCCCAGAGAAGCCCGTGGTGCAGTCTTACCTGGCCAGAGGCGTCTCCTAGCTGTGGCCTCTTGGGATGCTCATGGAACGAACACTGGGCAGGGCTCCCTGGTGAGAATCTCTCAGACTTGTCCCTGGCAGAAGTAGTCGCACCGTCTGCAGTAATGCTCTGCTGGAGCGGAGATGCTGAGACTCTAGAACCAGATTTGTTCAAGTGAAATACAAGGGCAGACTCCGGGGTGTTTATATAGAGCCTCATCTCGATGTTTCCAGTTAGGGGTTGAGTTACATACAAAAAGAACTTTACGTTAGTCAGGAACCTCAAGTTGGAGGCCTTTCAAACTTGTATTAAATGGGAGAAACAATGGCTAAGAGAAGTGATTTGAGGAAGATGTTTCAGATCTTAGGATGTTGTCAGGAGCTTCCTGCATCCCATCAAAGCTAAGTCCACAATCATGAAGTGTCCCTAAAACACGAGGAGGCTTTGTACATAAGCTATGGCTGTGAGACAGCTACTCTAGTGCGGGAGCTTAAACAACAGACATGAAGCCAAGTGTGATAGGACGGGCCTGTCATCCCGGCACTCAAGAGGTGAAGGCAGGAAGACCAGGAGTTTAAGGCTAGCCTCTGCTAGTGAGCTTAGGGCCAGCCTATGCTACACAAGACCTCGTCTCAAATAAATAAACAAACAGACAAGTAAACAATAGACATTATCTTCATCTTGGTGGGCCAGGAATTAAAGGCAGCTTATCTGAGTGGCCAGACTGGGAATTTCCCATGATGCTAGTCAGAGCAGGCCGAGTGCCAGCCACCGGGAGCCCTGGGTACAGTCGTTTGCACACTCATGAAACTGGTCACTCGAAATGGCCGGGTGGGGCCCGGGGCTGCTTTCATAGTCTGGCATGGCAGCTGGCCTAGCTTGTAAGGAATGATGAGTGGCTGTGTTTGGCTGCTACAATCATTTGTAGTTCATACTCTGCACGCACAGGCCCCACATCTATGGGCCTAAGCTCACATGAATGTGTAGACGGCCCACCTGGGACTGATGCTGGAACCGAAGTGAGCCGGGCGAGCGCTCTGCCACCCAGCAGTCCCCTGCTTCTCTTTTTAAATTTTGACGCAAGGTCTCACTAAATTTCCCAGGTTGGCCTCAAACTCGTTATAATTCAGACAGATCTTGAATTTGTAATCCTCCTGTCTCAGCCTCTCCCTTCCCCCACCCTAAATACTCGAGATTATAGGCTACAAAGGCCTGACTATGCAAACATTTTTTTTCATTATTACATAAACACTAGTTTATTTACATAGTATTTGTACTGTATTTCAGATTCTGAGTAGTATAGGCTTAAAGTATATAGATTTTCATGGGCTTTGTGCAAATACACAGTTTTATAAAAAGAATTTGAGCATTTTCCCCTTTTTTTTCCATGCTAACTTAATTTTTTAAATTTTACTTCAGTTAATTTACTTTACATCCCAAGTATGCCCCCTCACTCCTCTCCTTCCAGTCTTCCCTTCCCCTCTTTCCCCCTTCTCCTCTCCCTTTCCCCCCAGAAAAGGGGAGGCGCCCCCTTCTCCCATACAACCCTCCCAGCACATCAAGTCACATCAGGACTGAACGTGTCCTCATCCCTTGAGGAAAGGCAGCCCTGCCAGGGGGAAGTGATCCAAAAGCAGGGAGCAGGGTTTATGTTAGAAACAGCCCCCCAACCCTGTTCCACTTGCCAGGCGACCCACATGAAGGCCAAGCCACACATCGGCCATATATGTGCAGGGGCCTAGGTCCAGACCATGCCTGCTCCATAGCTTAGGTGTCTGGTGGTTTGAACAGGGATGGCCCCCATAGACTTATGTGTTTGAATGCTTGGCTCACGGGGAGTAGGTGTGGCCTTGATAGAGGAAGTGTGTCACTGTGTCAGGGGTCAAGCTTTGAGGTCTCCTCTGCTTAAGCTACTCCCTGTGTGGCACACAGTCTCCTGCTGCCTACGGATCAAGATGGAGAATTCTAAGCTCCTTCTCTAGCACCATGTCTACCTGCATGCTGCCATGCTTTCCACCATAATGATAATGGGCTAAACCTCTAAAGCTAAGCCATCTCCAATTAAGTGTTTTCTTTCATAAGAATTGCCATAATCATGGTATCTCTCCACAGCAATGAAACCCTAGCTAAGACTGTATCTGAAAAGGTTTCTGGACGCATACCTTCTGTATTCATTCAAGGGAGACTCAGTTGGGGATCATGATGGGGTCAGGTCAAACAGAACGTGAACAGGACTGTACTTTCTTGTGTAATGGAAAGAAACAAGTCACTTCTCCTGGAAGCGACACCCCACCATCTCCTCTGTGACACCCTAGCACATTGTGGCTCAAGGGGGCACTCTTGCCTTGGAGGCTGGCTGTCCAGTGCATCCTTCTCCTTTAGCTTGGCTCTCGTGAGGTCTGTCTTAGTTACTTTTCTATTTCTGTAACACCATGACCAAGGCAACTTATAAAAGAAAGTGTTCAATGGGCGTATAGTTCCAGAGAGTTAGAGTCCAACCTAGCAAAGGCAGCTGAGCAATAACTTGAAAATGGCAGGAATCTTTTGAAACTCCAAGCCCATGCCCAGTGACATACCTCCTCCAAAGGCTGCATCTCCTAATCCTTCCCAAACAGTTCCACCAAGTGGGAAACAAGTATTCAAACACACGCGCCTCTGGGAGTCATCCTCATTCAAACCATACCTTCTCAAAAACCAAACCTAGGCCTCACTTGTGTCTTCACATTTTTCTTTTAGGGCCCACCATGAAATTGAAACGACTCACAGTTCTGGAGAAGTACAAAGATACCATCGATTCCTTTTATCAAGAGCAGAAACAGTAGTCAGGAGCCACGTTTGCAGCTTTGGCTGGAGTACGGCTGGAGTACCCTGAGCTCCAGGTGTCTCCCTCTGGGCACAGCAACCTCTGAGAAGCTGCTTTCACCCTTGGTTCAGGGCACAGCACTGACATTTCCCATACCCTCAAGTGCAAATAGTTTAGATTCTAACCGCTGCTCCTGTTCAGGTGTCAAACAAGATCATTCTCCTTCCAAAGGGGAAAGACTGCTCATTTTGGCCTCAGGTCCGGGCAGATTTACAAGGTCCTAGTTCCCAGGTCTAGCAGGGCTGGCTGCTGGAGAGGGGAAGGGATGGCATTCCCATGACTAATGTGTCCTGCGCAGACAGCAGGCACAGCTCGCCTGGCGGCCTGGCCTAACTCTGCCATCTTCTTGGAAACTCTGCCACCTCACACACAATAGGCTTGACACTTAATAAACTGCCACTGCCTATGTGACTGTATTTAATGTGTAATTTTGAGTATTAAACCTTTTAACAGACCTGCAACAAGAACGTGATGTTGTTTTTTTGTCAACTGGGCAGGTGGGACAGAGCACAGTAAACTCATGGAACTGTGAACAGCCATTAGTACATCAGGAGCAGCCTACGACAAACGGGTGGGGTCTGGTGGAACATTCGAGTTAAAGCAGCCTACTCTATCACCACCTACCACAACATGCTAAGCTGAAATGCCCCCAAGGCACCTGACCAGGAAATAGGCAGAGAATGCAAACGTCTCAGTCAGTATTTAAGTTTTTTATTACGGTGAACTCAAAGCCACTGCTAACAAACAATGCAGTAAGACAGAGAAAGCAGCAGTTGAAAGTAAAATACACAGAAGACTGTTAGTCTGAGTAAACACTTTAAAAAATGACCCGACTGGGGTGTGTTAAGAAATCCCCTTGTGACCTGGGTATGTTATGCAAAGCCATGGGTTTGCAAATTGGTACAAGGGCGAAGGGAAGACAGCTTCAGTGTGGGCCAAAGGGTAGCTTCATGCTGTAGTGCAGAGGCTGTAGAAAGGGAACCTGACACTTGGAAGCTGGTGACACTGGCCACAGCTTGGGCTGAGTCAGCTTCATCTCTACAATGAAGTCTGTTAAGGGTGCTGCTGGGGCACAGGGCAGTGATTGAGTGCTTTGGGGAAAGAGGAGAGGAAACAGCAGTAACCGGCATCCTGGGTTCCTCAACCACAGCCGAGTCAGGCCCAGGCACCCAGGCCTTTCCGCAGCACTGGCTGGAGTGTCGCCCCTTTTAGGGCCCTGAAGGAGTGAATCTGCAGTAGCTGGCTCCTGGACTGAGTCAGTTCAGGGGTTCAGACAGCTCATGGTGCTTACTATGTGTGTAGTGAAGAGGAATGACCTTAACTGAGAGTCCAACCCTGGAGATCTCAAGGTAACAAAGTAACAGGCAGAGCACCTGGGGCTCTGACAAGGGTTGCCTAACATGCTACCAGCAAAATTACAGCATTCAGCATGTATTTCTTGGAGCTTACATTTTTATTAATAGTAATTCATGTACAGGACAGATATCTTTATTTCCATATTGCTAAGAAACATGTAATTTTTGTTGTGATCTTTCCCAGTAAATTTCTTTTGTGCCCATTCAGTCTTAGAATAATGTTATCTTGTGCGACAGTTAAAACCCTGTTTTATTCCCAGTACATTTTTCATAAACCAAAAAAACAAAAAAATAGGGCTGTTGTTAAAAAATTAAATATTTTCTCTTATTAATTCTGATTCAGAATATTTACAGTTGAGGAAAATTACTTTGCCTTAAGTGTAAAATGGGTAACAATGGTAAATGATACAGTTTGCTTACAGTTTACAAAAAAAGGTTTACCAGACAGACAATAAATAATAATAAGCACTTGGGAAAATCCTTTGAATGAAGGTTTAGGGCCAACACGTGCATCCGTTGCAAGGGGTTGGTTAAGAAAAGGCCAGATTTGAAAATGGACTCTGGCAAGAAGCAAGCAAACCAATGGCGGGCGCTCTCAAGGAGGAGTACGGGTGTCCTTCTGGAGTGACTGACTGCAGAAAATCCACAGGCTAATCTAAGTCTTTCACTCGGCGACAGATTTCGTCTGTGAAGTCAGAGCACTTAGCATTGCCTCCTAGATCTTTTGTTAAGCTCTGAGAATAGCAAAAAACAAAAATAAACATCCATCACCACACTGAATTAAAACAAGGATATTTTTACCTAAAGCATCCAGTTTAATGGGAACTGAGCAAGATACCTGCATACTTGCATTTCAAAGTGAGGTTCCGTCACACACCATCTACCTAGCTAGGAGGCCTGGGGAAGCCCCGTGAAGTGTGTACCCCAAACACTCACAAGTCAGGCATGGCGGTGCACTGCCACAGTCCCAGCAGGGAGAAGCTGAGGAAGGAAGATTCTTGCACATTCAAAGCCAGCCTGGTCTATACATCAAGTTCCGGGCCATGCAAGGCTGGATAGCAAGACCCTCCCTATCTTAAAACAGAGCAGTAAAGAAACCACCGAAATGGCTGCTCCATTAATGGGAAGGTTTTTATTGTGAATAAGAAAAAGTATCCAGAGGCACCTAGAAGATTCCAGAGCAGAGAGAAAAAGGAAACCTACTGGTCATGGCCAAGACTATCTTCCAGATGCGAGAGAGCAGGAGAGAACAGTGGAGAGAGCAAAAGAGAGCGACTAGTGAGCAGGATGGCAGAGGCAGGGGCAAGAAATGGTATCTGGGAGAAGGAAGCCTGTGGAGGAGAGGAGGGCCAGGATGCTAGAGTGAGGGCTTTGCAATGTGTAGCAAGTACTTGTGAGTAGGGACTGAGGGAGCCTGAGGCGCGCATGGACTTTGATGTGCAACTGCAGGAGCATATCATTGGAGCCTAAGTCCTTCCTGCCAGAGGCAAGGAAGTGACTCCTTTGGGGGAAAGAAGACAGTTTCGCAAATCCCTGAAGAATGCTTTTATTTAACCATCAAAAATCCTCCTATAATCCAGCTTGGGCTCATTTCTGTCTATATATAGACTGACTGGCACTTTACAAACACCTCTCAAAGAATAAGGCTTATCCAAGGAGCAGGAAGGCTTTTCCAAAATTTCTCCTTTGCTCAAACTATTGACCAAGAAAATATTGTTTGGCTATGGATAGTTAAGTGAAAACAAATCTAAGCATAAAGTCTGGGGGGAAATTTTGAAGCTAAAAAGAGATCATAAGACATGTTTTGATCTATTTTGGTATTTGGAGGCCAACAGCATGAAAACATTTACACAGCTAACACCTAACTTCCCACTTTAGGAGAGGTCTTTAGTGCAACCGATCTGTTTTCTACCAACCCATTTTCTCTTCACTGCAAACAGATGTCAGTGTGTTGAATTCCCTCTCGCAGCTCCACCCTGCAGAACTGAGAGAACCTGTTAGTGAGCATCCTTCCGCTCACCTCTAGATTATTGCTCCCCAAATACAGGCCTGGTATAAGCAACAAACAAGAGCTTGTGCCCTCTAAAGAGATGTCAAGCTGCTAAAAAGCATGTTTTCATTTCTTCTACTTTGGCCATAAGAAGTAATCCCAAGCTGTAACTTTCAGAAAGGGACAGCTTTGGCTCCCTGCACGTATGTGGCCAATGGGCGGCTTGGTCTTCTTGTGGGTCATCTGGCAAGTGTATGTGGGGGGGGGGGGGGGTTTATTTCTAACATGGACTCTATTGCCTCTTTTGGATCACTTCCCCTGGCAGGGCTGCCTTGCTGGCATCAGGGGATGAAGATATGCTCAGTCCTGATGTGACTTGATGTGCTGGGGAGGGTTGATATGGGGGAGAGGGGCTCCCCTTTTCTTGGGGGGGGAAGGGAGAGGGGAAGGGGGAAGAGAGGAAGGTGGTACTGGGAAAAGAGGAAGGAGGGGGCACCCTTGGGATGTAAAGTAAATAAACTGAAATTAAAAAAAAAAAAAGAAAAGAAAGAAAAAGAGAGAAAGAAAAAAAAGAAGGGGCTAGCTTTGAGGCACTATGTGAAGAACACTTGACCAGACCACACAGCTTACAGCAGTCAGGCTGGGTGGGTCTGTGCCTGCCTCTGGCTCTCATGCTCTTTCTGCTGCATTCTGATTTAGTGCCTCTTAACTCTATCAAAGGAAGTATTTGGATCTTCCCCTAGAAAAACACACACATGCACACATGCCTTCCTTAAGTTCAATGAGGGAGTCCACATTAAAAATCTGTTTTAGGCTAGGTGGCGGCAATGGTGCACGCCTTTAATCTCAGCACTTAGGAGGCAGAGGCAGGTGGATCTCTGTGAGTTCAAGACCAGCCTGGGTTTACCAAGAAAATTATAGGACAGCCAGGGATACACAGAGAAAGCCTGTCTCAAAAACAAAAACAACAAAAAAATCTGTTTAATATAAAATCTTTCAGGGCTCTGCTCTCTTCCCACAGAAACACATTTCAACCAGTTTACAGTTGTCTAGATTTATAGATACCTTTCCATCCTTAATTGTGGCAAAACAGGCAGCCTCGATTTTTGCCGCATGGTCGAAAAGCCCCATGTGGCGCAGCATCATCACAGCACTAAGCAGGAGGGCCGTGGGGTTGGCCATGTCCTTGCCTGCAATGTCCGGGGCTGTTCCATGAACCTGTGATGGCATAAGAAGGCAGCGTGAGCAGTAGGGATAGGAACAGGCAGCCCTTGCCTGGTCTTGGCATGTACCCAGCATGCACCGAGTACTGGGCTCAACCCCCAACACCAACACCAATGAAAAGACAAACAGGCCTTCTGAAGAAGCGGAGGTCTCCATCCTCTCTCTTTGCCAACAAAGATATATTTACTGAAAGCGGCTGTGTGCAATTCATCGACACAGCTCTTAGAAATAAAATAAAGCTGAGAAAAAAAAAAAAAGAAGAGCTAATTTTTAAGTGCAAAAATGGCCCAAATTAGGGAGATGGCTGGGTAAGGAAAAGAACTCGCTACACAAGTTTGAATCTCCAAAAGCCACATAAAAGCTGGACATGCAGCTGAAGCAACTGTAACCCCAATGCTCCAACGGGGAGGCCAGGGTAGAGACAGTGGAGTCCTAGGGAGCACATGGGCTAGCAAGCCCAGTGTTTGCAGAAAAAACAAGCAAACAAACAACAAAATAAAACCAAGAGATCATGTCTCAAGGCAGGAAGAACCAACACTCCGGCCTCCACATATACAAGCATGGCACACACATGACCACATATCCTGTATACATTCACCATTCACATACACAAAATAAATGTGAGTCAGTAATACTTTTCAGTAAATTTTGGTCAAACATTTTAAAGTGAAGGAAGTCACATAAAAAGTATCTGGCCAGACAAGAGGCCAGAGGATCTCCAGTTTGAGGCCAGCCCGAGATGCACGACAAACCTCCTTCTCAAAAATATATAAATAAATATTTGGAGAGAAGTAAATAAGCCAAAGCAATTAAAAAAAAAAAAATAGCTGGACATGGTGGCACATGACTTCAGCGCTAGCACTCAGGGATGCGGAGGTAGGTGGAACCCTGAATTTTAGGCCAGCCTGGTCTACACTGCAAATTCTACACCAAGGTAGAATTTCGAGACCCTGCTGCAAAAATTAAACATAAAAAATAAATTCTATTTCCCAGACAATGTGCAAAGCTGCAGAGTTGCTGTGCTCAGCTAACAAGGTGCAGATATGGGTAGGGTGCTTGTGAAGCCAAGGGCTTTACAGAACGGGGTAGAAACTGCCTGAGGAGAGGAAGGGAAACAGAGAACAGTGAATAAGGGACACGACTGAGTGGACGCAGGTTCTAGTGGGCTAACAACTCAGGGAACCTAGACTGACAGGAAGTGGTGGCCAGATGTGGGCCACTTGAAAAATTAAAAGCCAAGAGTGATGGCACACACCCATAACCCCAACTCCAGAGGCTGAGGCAGGAGGATCATGAATATGATGGCAGCCTGGGCTACATAACGAGACATGAGTTCTGTGTAGGTGTCAGGGTCCTTACCGATTCAAAGATGGCAACACCATTGGCTCCAATATTGCCACTTGGCGTCACACCAAGACCTCCAATCAATCCTGCACACAGATCACTGAGGACAGAAAAGGACATTTTGAGAAAGAAAGCAATTCACCTAGCACTCAAATTTGAGTGTTTAAATATTATCCTCTACTAGAGGAAAGCAGAGTTCCTTGGAGAAGTGGCTCATTCCAGGCTTCAAGGTCAGAAATACAGATGAACTGGAGCAGCTTACTGTGTCAGGAAGTAAGGCATCAAAGGACAGGCCAAGTCCCAGGGACACAGGAACCATGGACAGGAGGCACCAAGCCCGGTGAAGACAACCTGAGCCAGTGAGCATCTCATCAACGAGTAAAACAAAACCAGGGGTACACACACTGATATAGACAACTGACTACACAGTTGAGACCCTGCTGCAAAAAATTAAAACAAATAAAATAAAAATATAGCATAATTTCCCCAGCTAATACGTTAAGCTTCAGAGTTAAAAGCCTATGTACAGACTCTAAGAAGGAAAACTTCAATCTCTTGATGGACACCATATAAGAAGTGTAGAAGGAAGGATGGGCTTAAAGAGTCAACATTTTCCAACATCCCACGGGAGGAGAAGAGAAGGATGCAAAGAGGGAAGGAACGAGAGAAAGAGCTGCCATGAGGACTGAGGTACTAAGTCCATGGGGCTTCCTGGCACCATTACTGGAAGTTTTCTGTCAGTGTGCCATTATGTCAATAGACCTGCGACTGGGGTGTAGCTCCATGGTAGCTCAGTACAAACCGCAGCACAAAGAAGTGGGAGGAAGAGAGGGCAACACTCTGAAAATGACCACCAGTCTAGCTAGCTGTGCATGTAACAAAATACTCTGAAATGACACTGAATTTAGCTCATCTTCTGTAGCAGATACAACAGCGTATAGTATGTTATTGACAACATAAAGCCATGATTCATTTTAGGATGGTTATGTATAAACTACAGGTCAAAAATAAAAAGGGTACAGTCAGACTTACCTAAGGATGTCTCCATATAAATTTGGCATGACAAGAACATCAAACTGGGATGGGTCTTGTACCATCTGCAAGGAATAACAGGTGTACTTTAGCAGTCATAATCTGTACACCATGGATACACAGTATGCACCATGAAAAACCGGTAAGCACTGCTGCATACTTACGTTTAAACACACGGTGTCAAGGTACATCTCATTAAATTTAATATCTTTACAGTTTTCTGCAACTTCTCTGCATTTTTGCAGAAAAAGCCCATCTGACATCCGCCTGTATTTAATAAAATAAATAGATAAATTGCTAAAAATGAAGACTTGTAGCAAACAAACAAATCAAAGAAGACCACGTTCAAGAAAGGTAAGTTCCGAGGGGCTTGAAGATGGCTCAGTCAGTGAAGTGCTTCAAGGCCAGGGTTCAGATTGCTAGCACCCACAGAAGAGCGGAAATACCAGTGCTGTGGGCACACTGCACAGCCAGCCAGCCAAGCAGTGCGCTCCAGAGCCATGAGAGACCCTGTCTCACAAAAGGTAGACACTGTTCCTAAGGATGACAGCTGTGGTTGCCCACCACACACACACACACACACTTGTACACAAACCCACGTGTGTGTATCGGTATGTATGTATGTATGTATACATGCATGTGTGGACCCACACACACTGTTAGTTTAAAGAAAGAAAGCCCAGTGTGGTAGCACAGCAGCGCATGCCTTTAATCCCAGCCACCATGGGTACACAGTATACAGCACGAAAAACAACCAGTAAGCCCTGATGCAGACTTACATTTAAACATACGGTATCAAGGTACATACATACGTACATACATGTGTGCATATACACACATAAGTCTATATTGGTGTGTGTGTGTGTGTGTGTGTGGACACATACATACATAGGTATATATTGCTGGTTTTTAAAGAAAAGCCCAGTGTGGCAACACGGTCACACACACCTTTAATCCCAGCACTAGAAGGCAAAGGCAGGTGGATATCTATGAGTTCCAAAACAGACAGAGCGTCTAAATAAACTAAATAAACAATAAGTTCCAGAATCCAAAATGTCTGATTTCAATCACAGTATAATTACTTCTTGGGCAGCCAATAAATTGGGAGTTGAAAAGTTTTCAGATCTTCTGGATGTACAAAAATGTAAAAACACGCTGTGCTGGTAGCTCATGCCTTTAATCTAACCAGCACTCAGGAGGCAGAGGTAAGTGGATTTCTGAGTTCAAGGCCAGCTTGGTCTACAGAGTGCGTTTCAGGACAGCCAGGACTGTATAGAGAAACCCTCTCTCGACGCACGCACACACGCACACCCCACAAAGAGAGAAAGGAGTGTAAAGACATGAGACAGTTTGCTCACTCGTTCTGAGGCAGGGTCTCACGCAGCACAGGACGGCCTTGACCCTGCTATGTAGCTAAGGCGGCCTTAGACACCCAGTGCTGGCAGTGCAGGCACACATGGTCCTGGCCCACGCCCCAGCCCCTGTGAAGCTGCTTTAGCAGGAAAGTGTCACTTAGGTTGTTTACGGCCGTGCAGCTCAGTCCTTTCTTAGCTTAGGAGAGCTGTGTCTTTGTCCAGTCAGAGGAGCCTTTCATAGACTGGGCTCGAGAACCTAAATGTCAGAGAATACTTCTGACCGTGTCTACTCTATTTTAAGCCCTGAGTACACGGCACTTCAGAAAACACCCCCACTCTTCCACTTGGGAAACATGAACTGTGGCCTCTGCTAACCTACACATCTTCTCCAGCTCCTTCTGATACCTCAGCCTCTTAACTCTCAGGACCTGAATTCCTGGCCCTCTTCGTTGGTTCCTATCATTACCCCAGGGAGGTCCCAGAGGAGGAAATGCCACTCGGATCAGTAGACACTCTTTTCCAAATTCTGGAACTCCAAGAACAAACTGGAGAGTGAGTCCTGGGAGCTCCATCCCCACAGCAAAGCAAGCCAGCCTGGCCTCTCCGGGACTCACATGATGTTGGCTTTGTGCACAGCGGTGACATTGCTCCGGTGATTGTTCCGCGCATACTCAAAGGCAAACTCAGCAATGCGCTTGCTTGCTCCTTCCGTGATGAGCTTGATGCTCTGCACGACTCCATCTACGATCTGAAAGAAGCAGCCCTGCTCACTGGAAGGGGCGTGGCAGCACTTTGCTACCAGAGTGCAGGCCACACTGTTGTAGCAGGCTACACAGTCAAGGCTAACTCCAGCCCCAAAAGACAGGATTACAGGCCTTGCTTTTCAGTGACCAACAGAGATGGTCAGCAGCCAAGGACATGCCTGTGGAGTGGGAGTTCAAACTGTAGGGGGCAGATTCCCAAGCCTATTCCAGGCCTATACCCCAATTATACCCAGCCAGGTTCTTCCTCCCGTTTATTTGAGTACTCAGCCAGAGACCCACAGCACCAAAACAAACACCCACCAACTCTTGCAGAGGGAGAGACTCTCAACTAAGAGTTTGAACAGCTGCCTCAAATGCACACAAGGACCCCCCTAGGGAATAAGGACCTCTCTGAGCCAGGTGTGGCGGCAGGCCCCTTTAAGCCCAGCCCAGGAGGGCAGAGCAGGCAGATCCCTTTGAGTTTTGAGACCAGCCTGCTCTACACAGTGTGTTCTAGGACAGCCAGGGCTTAGAGACCCTGTCTCAAAACACGAAAGATGAAAAACCTCCCCCACAAATCAAACAAAACAAAACTCTGAGATGAACATACCACATGCTCAATTCCACTGTATTCTCCTTCCGTGTTCTCTCGGATGGTGACAATATTTACATCCGTGTAAGGGGTTTTATAACCTTCAATTGAGACACATGGCCGCACATTGGCGTAAAGGTCAAAGGTCTTACGGAGCAATAGATTCATGGATGGATGGCCAGCTGCTATTGGGGTCTTTAGTGGGCCTGTAACGAAGAACAATCAGATGCAGCAGGGCTCACTTGGTCTCACAGGGAGCCAGTTACTAACCCACCTGGTTCCTATGATGTGTGCTCTGCACTCAACTTTACACCCTCCCTCAGACTCAAGAGGAGGTCTAGGGAGGTTTCAGAACCTTCGGGAGGTTTCAGGAACGTGAACTGCATTTCCACCTTGAGAACTTCTGAGGACTGAGCACTGCATCAGGTGCTTAGCATCCCTAGGCCCCCACGAGGGATATTTACAAATGTAGGGAAAACAGACAATTCCAGGGTAAGAACTTGGCCTAAGCTTTCCAGGCTGGTGGCCTATAAAAGATAAGATTCGAACTTGGATCTGAACATGGTTTTAAAGCCTGTGCCACCTGGAGAGGGGCATGAGAGGAGATGAGGGAGGGAGGGTGGGATTGGGAGGAATGAGGGAGGGGCCTACAGCTGGGATGCAAAGTGAATAAAATGTAATTAATGTAAAAAAATTTAAAATAATAATAATAAAATAAAGCCTGTGCCAAATACTAATTGTTTTGAATCATGGCCCTAACCATGTATTAAAATAACAAAACATTAAAAATCTGATGAGAGGTAAATGGAGTTGAAAATAATGGACACAGTAAAGTTGGTATCAGAACACTAAGGCATGAAGAATCTCAAATATAAAGCACGTTCTAGGCCAGCTGGGCTATACTATGAGTCTCAAAAACATAAAACAGAGGGGGGGGGAGGGAAGGAAGGAAGAGCGAACCTTAACATAAGTGGATACTTCATAAAAGGAGGTCTTCACTTTTGACTGTCAGACTATACTTGGCTGACATGCATGTGCTCTCAAGATATGATGCCTGGAAGCAAGCACAACCTCCTCCCTCTGTACTGTACCTTTCAAGCCCATCTTGTTCTTATCCATGGACTCCTTGGCTTCTGGAGGGATCATCCACCTCCCTCCTGGTCCTTGAATGGCTGTGACATTCCGCTCCTCCCACTGAATGGGTGCCTAGAAGCCACACAACAGCACAGTGAACTAGACAGACTTACAACTACACTGGCATTGAGACTGGATGGTTCATCAAGACTGGATGCAAGCAGTAAAAACACGTCCCGTAAGGTCCTGAAAGTTCCTGACATGCTGTGATATTCACTAGTGTGCCCAAAGGGATTCTCTGCATCACCCTGGCCTAGTCATCACAGCCAGCTGCCACCTGCTCATTTATTTTCTTCACAAGGACCCTTAAGGTGGTTATAATTAGATTGGCATAAGATGTGGAGGTATAAGGTTCACAGAAATGATTCATAGCACTGGTACATGGATGAGCCTTGAAAGCACAATGCTAAGAGCAAAAAACCCACCAGGAAAGACCACGTAAGAGTCTATTGATATGAACAGGTTAGCAAATCTACAAAGAGAAAGCAAATGATTGCCTGGGAGGTGGGAGATGGGAGCAGAAGAACCCAGAGTGACTGCTATGGGTTATGGGCTATCTTTTTTTGTCAATAACATTGTTCTGAATTAGACTGTGTGGGTGGCTGCACAACTCTGAATATACTAAAACTCACTGGACTGGATTGTATGCTTATTTTCAGATTTTTCAGTGTTACATCAATGTGTGGAGGTTAGAGGTCAACTTTGGTATTGGTGCTCACCTTCGACCTTGTTAGAGACAGGGTCTCTGGCTGTTTGTCGCTGCATATGCCAGGCTATCTGGCCTGCAAACTTCCAGAGACTCTCGCAATAGGAGCACTGGGAGTAAAGTCACATGCTACTCCACCCAGCTTTCTGTAGGTCCTCATACTTGCACAGCAAGCATTTTATCTACTGAGCCGTCTCCCCAGCCCTGGATTGTACATTTTTAATGAGTGCTTTGATACTATGTGAATTATACCTTAACAAAGCTAAGGTATAATTAGAAAGATTATATCTAAAGAACAGGAACGACCTATGAAGGTATTGGTTTAAAGTACAAACTAGTGTTCCTTTCTTTCTTCCTCCACCCTTCGTGTGAGAGCTGACATCTGACAGCCAGCACACTGTCTGCACAGAACCAGACAGAGAAACACAGAAAATGATATGGACCTTGTTGGCAATCGTTCTTTCTTTCAAAATCACCTACATAAATCCCGAAGCGCTTTGGCAAGAAAACACACTAAGGCAGGGGAGTGGGCAAACACCAGAATCCCATGAGAGTTTAAAGCCTGTAAGCGCTGTGGTGCTACTCAGATTATGTGATACACAGCATGCCAATGTGGTGGCTTCCGCTACCACAACGGCAGTGACAATCGGCCAGCTCTCAGGAGGCAGAGGCAAGAGGGTCACAGATTCAAGGCCAGCCCAAGCTGCACAGTAGGTTCTACCCCCGCCCAGGCTTCGGAGCAAGACTCTGTCTCAAAAGTAACCAGGGGCCGGAGGGATGGTTCAGGGGCTTAGATCATTTGTTGCTCTTGCAGAAGATCCAGGGTTTAGCTTCCCTGTGCCACAGGGAAGCTCACAACCATCTATAACTTCAGTTCTAGGGGATCTGACACCCTCTTCAGGCCCCCTCGGGTACTAGGCACGCACACAGTGCACACGCACACGTGTGTGCAAGACACTTCTACATATAAAACAAAATAAATCTTAGAAAAGGGAAATAAGTGACACAACCTTGGGCTTCGGAGAGAATCTCACTACGTAGTCTTGGCTGTTCTGGAACTTACTATGTAGCCAGCTGGCCTTGAACTCATACAGATTTGCCTGTCTCTGCCTCCAAGTGCTGGGAGTAAAGCCTGGACAACCACACTCAGCTTTAAAATAATTTCATTGCATATATTTATTTCTGTGCACACACACAATGTGTATGTGCGTGCATGCGCACCTCACACAGTGTATGTGGAGGTCGAAAGACAGTAGGGACTAGGTGTTTTCTCTCTGCCACATGGGAGCTGGCAGTCAAACTCAGGTTAGGCTGGGTTGTAAGTGCCTTTATTCACTGAGCCCTCAATCTTTTTTTTTTTTTTTTTTTTTTTTTTCAAAGTCGAAATCTGTGGATATTAACAAGAGCCCCTACAGATTATACAGAAATGCCAAACAATTCATCCTGGCTAAGAATGTCTTTGTGAAGTATCCTTAAGAGAATTTTAAAAACACTTACTTTGGCAGCATCAAAAATCTTCATAACTGAGGCTGAAATTTCTGGGCCAATTCCATCTCCAGGAATTAAAGTTACTGTCTGAACCTGATATGAGAAATCGTTGAAGAAAAGAGTAAGAACTGGGTTTTATTATTATTATTATTATTTAAAAGAGTATCCCTCACAGATAAACTCACTTTCCCAGGGTATGTCTGAAAGACCGACCTCCCACTCGATCATGACAGGGGCAGAAACCAGCTACATGACACTCCATGTCTCTGCTCTCAGCTAAGTTTAGAAATTTAAATAGTAATACAAACTATGCTCTTCAGTAAAACAAAAATAAACTAAAAGTACACTTCCTAATTGTGTTTCTTTTCAGACAAACTTTTAACAACTAACATTCAAGCCTGTAAATCCCAAGACAGCAAAACATCTCAGCACTGTTCTCTCACTACAGCTCAGGCACTTCACAAAAGCCCCAGCTTTCTGGTCTGTGGACTAATACGGACGTTCTTCGGAAACAGTCAGGCTCATAAAACTCCATCATGCTTCCAGAATCTTAGAGGTCTGTTTTGACACTCCAAGAGAAACCAGACTTCCTTTCTAGAAGGCTTCCCTTGTCTTAGTTCCTGTACAAAACTGACTCCATCTCATGATCTAAGTGAGCATGGGGTGTCAACATGATCAGACCCACGAGGTAGAATGACGGTGACCGTGTCTGCGGTGTAACATCCATTATGCCTGGACAACAGTAAGTGAGCATTTCAAACACTAAAGAAATTAAATATGTCAGCATAAAGGATGAGAGGACCTGAAGACTAAATCAGACCCCCTCTTCAAGTGGGAATGCAGTCTCCCTGGCATATAGTTCCAGTTTCCTCAACTATGTAGTTTTAAAACTTCACTAATTGAAGGGGGGAGTGAGAGAAACATAATTAAAATACACTGTACATGCATAGAATTCTCAAAGAACTGATGAGAACATTACAAACATATTTTAAATCATAAATTCATTTGTTTTCATTACTAACTCAACTTTCCCTGGTTCTCTCCCTTACACTGTACCTGGACAGGTTGAATAATTATTTCTCAAGTTTTATATGCAGCTAAATCAATCTTTAAAAGAAAAAAAATATATCCCCTTTATTTCTTTGACAATAACCCCATCGACAAGGCTAATATACTTTTTAAAGTCGGTGGCCAATGATCAAATAACAGCAGAGAAGCATGATTGTCTCAATCCATTTCCAGAATGTGCTGGATTTTTCCTTTTCTTCTGGTCACTCTGGTGCTGAGGGTGGAACTCAGGGCCACGAGTATGCTGGGCAAGTGCTCTCAACACAGCCACATGCCCAGCCCTTCTTAATTTGTATTCTGAGACAGATTCTGTGCTTCCCAAGCTGGCTTCAACTCTCTCTGGAGCCCAGCAGGCCCTGTACTTTTTCTGATCTTCCTGCCTCAGCCTCCTGAGCAGTTGAGGTCATAGCCCTGGACCATCAGGTCCAGCTTCAGAAAGGGTTTGAAATGGCTATTCTTGAGCTTAAAGTGCAAGCCTTATTACACATTCTTAAAAAATTTTAGTAGTTCTTTGAGAATTTCATACAATGTGTTTTGAGAGTATTCACCTCCCTCCAATTCTCCCGATTCACTCCTGCCTTCCCCACCCACCTTTTTCTTTCTTTACTCATCAAGACCAATTTGTAATACTCAAATATTCTTGAACACGTGGACTTCCGATGGAGCTTGGTTATCTGACCAGGGTCTACACTCTAATTAGAGAAAACTGACTCTCCCTCTTCAAACAGCTAATACTTGTCAATCACTCCACAGCTAGAGGTGGGATTTTTGTGCCCAATACCACCCTTCCATGCTGGGATTTGGTTTGGCTTGGGCTTGCATGGGTCTTGTGCATGCGTTCAAGTGCTCTGAGTTCATATCTGCATTTCTGACATAAGCAGGGCCAAGGCTTCCTTCTTCCTGTTCTCCTACATGTAATGTCACTTGGGAAGCTACTTTTCTTCTCCAGTAGAGTGTAAATAGAGGGAGAAATGCACTCCAGCCTCATAAAATATGATGTGGGAGTATAGGAATGAAGGAATTATAAAATCCAAATCAGATTCTATAAAAGGGGGATAAAATAATACATAGGAACTCACTGACACACAGTCTTGGAATACTCCAAAACTGTGACGTCAGCTTGTCAAGCACAGAACTCTAAAGTTTGCAGTTCCAAAGCCGGAGGTGTAATGAGCAGTAGGTGAGCCACTAACAGGGGTCTACAGTCTACATAAAGAACATGTTCGCCTGTAGGGCCCACAGAAGCACAAGGCGCTCACAGTGGTCACCAATCGACTGTTTTTAGGGAAGCCCAGGAAACAAAATGCAAAGCAGGTTTTTGAAGCTTCTCAACAATTTCCTCCCAACTTGCACTTGTTTTTGGAAAGACAAAAACCCTAAGTGTCTTAAGACACTAATGAGATTACAAAATAAAATAACAGGCTCAGAGTACCTTCTATTTTTATCATGGCTCCTTGAAGATATTAATGGGACAGGCTTACACAGCCAGATGTAACAGACTTCTCTCAAGTAGGAAAATGACAAGAGATTTGTATATTTGTCAGCCAATAATTTTAATATACATTAGAAGTACAGCCAATTCCCTTTAGTTTTAAATAAATGAAGATGAAGTGCTAAATAATAAATGTGTTTGAGCATCTTTCTTGAGAAACTTCTAAAAGGAAAAATTAAAAGACATAATTATACTCACACCACCAGCAAAACCTCTTGTCACCTGTTTTGTATTGTGGAATGCACCCAGCAGCCGAGAGACCTACATTAATAGCAACAGAGAAATGTTATGCATAGAATGAAAACAGATGAACACTTGAGTCATTTCTGGTAGTTTTTCTTGGGGGGGAGTTGGAAAAACTGGACTTTTTTGTTGTTGTTTTTGTTTTTTTAAACTTGGAGACTTTCTAGGAACATTTTATCAAATATTATTAGCTCAGTGTAGCTGACCTGCTCAGACTTGAAACCCTAGAATTGAAGTGCTATACTTTTTCTTTCTTTGGAGGTTTGTGTGTGGATGTGTGGTAATTAATGTATATAGGCACACGTGTGTCCATACATGTGAAAGTCAGAGATGAACAACAGGCGTCCTCCTCTTATCAATGAGGGTGAGCTCATTAACCAGCAAGCTTCAGTAATCTTTCTGTCTCATTCACCTTTTTTAAGACAGGAATTACAGGCATGGACCACTTTTTTCTCTTTTTTTCCTAAATTCAGACCATGCCTGCAAGACCAGCGCTTCACAGACTGAGCCAACTCCCCAGTCTCAGCACTGAACTTTTTGGAAATTGAGTTTCTAAATGTAAATCCTCAGGAGACTTGGAAGATGGAATGGAATTCCACTTTCTTGCCTCAAACCTTAGCTTTTCTCTAATGCTCTAGTTAGTTTTGTTCATACTCTCAACCACAGAGGATGCCACATGTTCCAAGAAAATTATTGTTAGATTTGAAGCCAGCGGGGTCCTTAAGAAGCCCAGAGCAGGACTCCTCCTGAACGTACTCTGTAGATAAAGGGGCAAAGACAAGGGATTTGTCTAAGATCAGAGTGACCAATCAGGAAACATACTGAGCTCTTTCTAAAAAGTATTATTAATACGAGAGAGAGAGAGAGAGAGAGAGAGAGAGTGTGTGTGTGTGTGTGTGTTTTGCTCAGGGAGGTCAGAAGGGAGTCATATCTTCTGGAGCTAGAATTACAGATGCTTGTGGGCCATCCTGTTGGAAATCAAACCCAGGTCCTCTGGAGGAACAGCCAGTGCTCTTAACCACCAAGCTATCTCTCCAGCATCTAATCAGCAAATCAGAAATAATTTTGCCTGGCCTAGTGGGAGACTTGTGATCCCAGCTACTCAGTAAACTGAGGCAGGAGGTTCTGAGTTCAAGGCCTGTCTGGGCTACAGGGAATCCTCAAGACCAGCAATGACAGCTTAACAAAACCCTATCTCAAAAACGAAGAAGGGCTGGGGACACAGCTCACTGGCGGACCACTTGCCTAGCACATACAAGCCCCAATACTGCCAAAAGGAACAACAACAACAAAAAATATCCAGGACTTCTGAGTAAGTCATATACAAACTATATACTGAGTGCTAGGCTACCGAGTAAGACCCTGCCTCAAAGAAAAAGCTATCTCAACTGTTATACTTGAGACCTTTGGAAATGGTGCAAGGTCTTATTATAATAAAATTAAAACATAGCATTGAGTACAGACCAAAGGCACTCAAATTTGCTAAAAATTTTAAATGTAACCTTTTCATGTTAGATACATGTACAAGGAGACATTTGTTACACACTATATTTTTCCCACGACCTGTAAACCCAGGTACTCACAGGGCTAAAGCAGGAGGATTGAAAATTCAAGCCCAGCCAGGATGTGGGGGTACACAACTTTAATCCCAGCACTCAGGAGGTTAGGGAATAGGCTATGCATATCTAGAGGAACATCTGTGCATATATGTGGAAGAACATGCTAGGCACAGGAAAGATAAAGGCCCTGAGAAAGGAAATGCTCCATGATCCTGGGCTAACAAAAAGCCCAAACAGTGAGCGGAAATGAGCACTGACCATGTGGAACCCATAAACCACTGCAAAGTTACTAAAGTTTCAGTGAACAGAGAACCAGTGTGGTAGTTCACAACAGGCCACTCTGTGAGTTCGAGGCCACACTGGTCTACATAGTTCCAAGTTAGCCAAGGATACACAGTGAAACCCTGTCTCAAAAAACAAAACAACAAAAAGCTCAAGCCTGTCTGCACTGGGCTATACAGTGAGTTTGAGGTCAACCTGGGTAATTTGCTGAGACTTGACTTTAAAATTAAAAATGGAGATGGAGAGAAAGGTGCCGAGGACCAGCCCAGCGGTGGAGTGACCCTGTCACCAGGCTCAAGGCCCGGCACTCCAGCAATAAAGAACCATCCCAAGACATGCAAGATTGTATGATTTGTCTGCTATTCTATCTACAATGCCTGGCACAGTGCCTGCAACCCAGGCCACTCAGTCAACCCTATGTATGACTGAGGGTTCCCCTCCCAGCTTCCATTTTCTTCTAACAGCCAGTATTTCTCACGTTTTCGTCTCTCCTCCATGATCCTGGACTAAAGGAACACATTGACAAAGTTCGCTCAAATAGAACTTTAAACAGATTTTAGCACACACACTGCCTTTACTTTGTAATATACTCGTGTGTCAGTCATAAAAGCTAAGGAGATGACTTTTCAGAAGAGAGGATCTAGCCTCGGCTCCCTGAACTATATACTGAGTGCTAGGCTACAGAGTAAGACCCTGCCTCAAAGAAAACTGTCCCAGGCCCTGGAACACCTAACCCTGTGGTTCCCCATTTCCTTTTTACCTTCATATTCCAACCTAAAAACAAATGATGTGGTGTAGGAATTAAGTCAGGGCTCACTCGGTAAGTGCCTGTGGATAGGAAACCACTCACTTTGGAGCCTGAAAAGCCTTGAAAACATTCATTTTCTCAGTGGGAAAAACATACACTCTACAAATGACCTTTTTTAAAAAGAAAGAAAACCTTAGGCGGAATCTGGGTGTGGTGGCTCACACCTACAGAAGGCTGAAGTAGGAGGATCAGGGGTTCAAGGTCAGCTTTACTCACAGCCTCAGCTGGACCCCAGACACAAAACCCTTAAATGGAAGTCCAGTAAAGTAGCTGTCCTGACAGAAACCCAAATGCCATTCTGCACTTCACCTCAAGTCAGCCCCTTTGAGGCCCTAATCCCTTGAGACAGACTGAACCAAGCACTGGGCCACTCTGCCAAAGGTCACATAGGGAATCAAACCTCAGGGGAACATCTTCTGACCCTACAGCCAATAATCTCTGAACTCCTATGAGTTTTTCTTACAGAATGAAAGGCAAAACAGCTTTCCCGCACACTCTTCACCAGGGCAGCTTTATTTAGTCCCTCCCTTGAAGGCTGACTGTGCCTACCAACAGTGGATCAGGTAGAGAGGGTAAGCCCAGACATTAAAGAATTGACTTGTTGCTACACCTTTAACCACTAATGTGACCTAACAGCATCCCAGGCAAATGTGGGTCTGAAGAGATTGTCATGCACAAGTAATTCTGTGAGCCAAATGCAGATATCTTACAGGTGGGCTCACAGATGCTGAGTAATTTGCTCAGGGCACACAACTGTCAATGGCATTGTCAGGATTTAAAACTAAGGCCCCTAAGTTCAATTATTAGTAAATAATAGTGTATCTCTGAACGTCTCCTTAAACTTAAAAAAGGAGGGGGGAAGCAATACCAAATTTGATAAAAAGTGTCCATTGCTTACAGCAGATTTCTAGGGAAACACCCAGTATAGCGCCAGATGACCTAGGGCCTGGTCTCTACTATACCCATAATTAGCTAAGTGACCTTGGCCAGTGGACAAGCAGAAGAGAACTGAAAATCAAGATTCTTGGGTTCCTCTCCTAGATGAGAATGACCTCTGTATGACCTTGGACAAGTTTGCTTTGGGGACAGGTCAGCTCCACCGAGAAACCAAGATTTCCTATGTAACCTGAAGCGTCTTCCAGCTCTAGTACCGGAGCTACCAAGAAAAGCCAGAGCGCCCCAGATCGCAGGGTTCCCAACAACCGAAGGTGAAAGGAGGACGCTCAACACTCCCTGAGTGTTCAGACGGTAATTCCGAGGAAGAGGATGCCCTGTGTCCTCCGGAGGGGGAATATCTATCCACCGGGGCACCAGGAATCAGACTAGGAAGACTTCCAAGAGGGATAAAAATCTGGCTGGCCGGGCGGCCCGGGATTCCCTCACCCGGGATAACCTCTCGCACCCATAGTTCGCCCGTTCAAAGGCTGAGGGACCAGGGGGGGGCGACCTGGGCCGTGAAGCAGGCTGCCCGGAGACCCGCGGGTAACAGGGCCGCAGGGCCTGGACGGCCGCTCCGTGACCCTCCGGGGCGACAGGCGAGGCTGTGCTCCAGTCCTGGAGGAGGCTGCGGGGGACACCCGGGGCAGTGCCGGCGCCTTGACCTTGACGGGCGCGGCTGTCCCGGCTCAGGGCTAGCTGGCCATGCTCGGCGTGCTGGCCACCCTCCCCGAACCGCTCCCCGCGAGCCGTGCGCCGCCTCTGCTCCCTGGCCTCCGCCAGACATGAGGCGGGACCACAGTTTGCCCTCCCGGCCTGCCCGCGAGCGTGCTGCCCTGGGGCGCTCACCTTGGACACCCACGCGGACCCGGCCATCGCTTCCACTTCCCTCACCGTGGCGACAGCGGCAACAGCGAGGCGAGGCGCATGCGCGCAGCCGGCGAGCCCGCCCGGCACGGCCCGCCCCGGGGCCCCGCGTGGCCCCGCCCCGAGCTCGGTCGTCCTCGCCGCTCCCCGCCAGCTCCAGACCCCACCGCACGGCTGCCGCTGCTGACCAATCACCGCCGTCATCTTTTGATGACGCGCGGAGCGGGCCGGAAGTCTCCTCCTCCCTCCCCTGCTTCATTCATTGAGGATGGATGATTTGCTTGTTTCCTACCTATTAGGGGCCAATCAGCCTTCTTTATTTGGGGGCTGATGGGCCCCTTAAAACTTTGCAATCCCATTGCCACAAATATTTTACTGATTTCCAAACACTGATTCGCTTTGTATCGTTTCATAGAAACAATCTCATGGAGCCTCAAACTGTTTAGCTGAGGCTGGGTTTGAACTCCTCATCCTCGTTTCTTGTCTCTACCTCCCAAGTGCAGGGACTATAAGACATGCACCAGCCCGCCTACCTTGATTTTTATTTTTAATAGCTTTACTGAAATATAATTTAAATATAAAATATACTCAGTGTTATTCAGAGGCGAATAGCATTTGTTGCTCTTGCAAAGGACCCAGGTCCGGGTCCCAGCAACCACATGGTGGCTTACAACCATCTGTAACTACAAATCTAGGGGATCCAGCACCCTCTTCTGGCAAACTGGGGAGTAATAAGTAGTATATGCCTTTAATTCCAGCTCTCAGGAGGCAGAGGCAGTTGGATCTGAGTTCAAGGCCAACCTGGTCTATAAATTGAGTTTCAGAACAGGGCTATACAGAGAAACCCTATCTGGAGAAACAAAACAAACAAGAAATGGCTGGGTAGGAGACAGCCAAGCTCACCAGATAAGAGTTGGTCTCAGTCTTAGCAGGCTCTGGCTGACACCCACAAAGCAGTCTCCTGATCGAAAGACTAAACCACGTAAGAACAGCTTCTGGAAAGGGGAGAGATGATTCAGCAGTTACGAGCTTAGGTGCACTTTTTACTCTGCCAGAGACTGAAGTTTGTTCTCAGCACTTAACGCAGACGGCTAATAACCACCTGTAACTCTAGCTCTTCTGGTCTCCCTAGGCACCAACATACATGTAGCATATGCTCACAAAGACACAAACACATAAATAAAAAAAATAAAACATTTTTAAAAAGCTTGTAAGAGAGCATCTCCAGGAAGGAGACACACACACCATACGAATATCTAAATAGAGAAGGGAAGTTGCATCTTGGTAACCATGCCTGCTGACAATCAGAACACTCTTCCAGAATTAAGCATTCTTGGGTCAGCAGTTCTGTTGTTTCTGCTATATCGGAACCCTATGGTACCAGGACATTTGTCTACACGTGTACCTGTACATTAACATTGCATCCTCAAAAGATATGACATCATTGGAATATCACTTACTTTGTGCATTTGACACCTCTTCCCTTTTGTTGACATCATGGAAAGAAATGTGCACAAAGGAAGACCATGCTCATGATTTGAGATTAAAAAAATTGTCATCTTATCTCAAGAACATGTTACTTACCTCATACATATTTATAGTAATGTCTTTAGCAGCCTCAGGGCATAACCCATCGTGGAGCATCTTGCCCGAGGGAAGCCATTCCATCTCTCTTTGGAGAGCATGCATTACCTACAAGCTGCTGCCCCAACTTGGGACAGTCCCTTCCACTCTCCATTAGGCCACCGAGTCACCACAGCCCCTTCCACTCTTTAGGGAACACTCTACTCAGCTTTACTGACTAAAATGCTGCTTTGTTAAGTAAATGGCTAGTCAAACTGTCTATGTCTCTTGACTGACTTCATTCCTTCAAGAAGATAAGAACTGAGAGACACCCACACACATACAATATCCACCACGGCAACAGTTTCATGAAATCCTGATAGTAGCAGAACAAGAAAAATCATTACTCCAAATACATTGGGAACATCAGGTAGGCAGGTTATAGCAAAGCCAAGAAACCCCTGCTGATAGGCCTCAGAAGACATTCTTAAGCCTCTGCGTTAGGAAAAGTTAGGAGCAAGTGAATTCTAAAGGATTTACTTAATAGTCCCCCACACAGGAATTAACAACAAACACCTATTTAGGTAATTTGGGGCTGGACTTGAAGCATTCTAGCTCTCCACATTCAGCCATTCAGCCTTGCAGAATATTTAAAGTCTAAATGTTTTTTGGGTTTTTTTGGTGGGGGGGAACTAAGGAGTTCACAACAATTATCACTAAAATACAGTTTGTTTTGGTTTGTTTGGTAGGTTTTTTTTTTTTTTTTGAGACAGGGTTTCCCTGTGTAGCTTTAACTGTCCTGGAACTCACTCTTTAAACCAGGTTAGCCTTGAACTCACAAAAGATGTGCCTGCCTCTGCCTCATGAGTGGCGGTTGTTGTAGGATATTTGATCCCATTGTAGACCCCAACCTTAGTGAACTATACAAACCTGTTTCTTGTTTGGTGTGGCTCAGCCCTAACACACACCTTTTTAAATCAAGAACTTTCTGTTTCTTGTAAACAGGTGGTTGGGGTGTGGCTCAGCCCTAGCACACACCTTTAACCCAAGAGCTTTCTGTAACCACAATTAAATAGTCAATCCTAGGTAAAGAGGCAGAGCAAGCAGCCAGTTGACAGAGATTAAAGACAAAGGAGGGACACTGAGTTGAAACATATTTAAGACAGTGTGGAGAAGGAGAAGGAGCTTTTTTTCTTCTGGGACTGAACTGAGTAGGAAGGTCAGCTGGGTGCTTTCTCTGCTTCTCTGAGCTACTAGGCTTTCACCCCAGCATGTGGCTCCTGAATCTTCATTGGTAAAATGGAATGATTGGGATTTTCTTTCATTATAAGAACATCCGGGACTAAAGGGTATACGCCACCACAGCCTAGTTCACGATCCAGTTCTTAACATACAGATTTGTTCCTCAGGTCCTCCTGACCTCCACCCCCGGCAACTGTTGATAATCTTGTCCTCCCTCCACATTTATTTAATTTTGTGGCAGGTGGTGGGGCAGAGCGCACATGTACACAGCCCACATGTGAAGTCAGAGGACATCTGGGTGGAGTCAGTTCTCCATGGAAATATGTGGGTTCAGGGATCAAACCCAGGTTCTTAAGCTTGGTAACAGGTGCCTTTATCCACTGAGTCACCTATACCGCTCTCGCTCTATCTTTTCATCTTTACATCTCCATAAACTTTTTTTCTAGTTCTTGAAAAATTAGGCACTGGTACATGCTAGGTAAGAGTGCTACCAATGAGCTATATCACCAGCCCTCTTTGTTTTCACTTTTTTTTTTTTTGAAGACCGAGTCTTACTAAGTTACCCATACTGCCATTAACTTCACTCATAGTCTAGGCAGGCCTCAAACTATCCTTCTGGCTCAGCCTTTAGAGAAGCAAGGACTATAGGCCTGAGCCACTAGACGTAGGTTTTACATTGTTTAATGTCACTTACATGTTCATCTTGTAGGTACATCTTCGAAAGTGTGCCTGCAAGTGACAAGAGGTGCCTAGTGCTCATATGTCTAGTGGGAAAAGAAAGCAGCAAGCAAGTCTGTAACAAAAACGTAATTAACCTGTAAGCGAGAAGAAGCAAAAGTGTTGAAGGTGATCTGTTGTCTCAGAGTCGCCTTTCCAGGATTTTCTTGTGGGCATGCAATTTATCCTAAACCTAGGGGACATACAAGTTTACATAGGCTGGTTTAACAAGGGTTATTGTATCAGTTTTGGTCTCTTTGTCAAAAGCAAATGATGGAAGGGAGGTTTATTTTGGCACTGAGATCCAGGGCCAGGAAAGTCATGACGGCAGGGGCTCAAGGCAGCTTGTCACATTGTGTCCACAGTCAGGAAGGGGCTGGAGGTGGATGCTGGTGTTCAGCTCTCTTTCCCCCTTTTATTCAGTCAACCGTTAGGGCCTGCCTTTCCACTCAGTTAACCTGTTCTGGACAGTCCCTCCCAGGCACACCCAGAGGCTTGTGTCCTAGGCGTTTTGAGCTCCTGTCAACCACTAGTGATTTGAAAAGAAAGGAACCCAGTTAGCAGGTGACACAGCCTGTCTGCGGATGATTTGTTTTTCTTTTAGCATAAAGCCCAGTTTGATGATTATTGACCCATGCCTCGGTAGTAGACACTTTAAAGAGTTTAAGCCCCTGCAGTTTTGTCTGTGTGACTGGTTGATTTTTAACATTTGTTCTTCACTGTATCGCTAAGTCTTCTCTTCATCCTCTTTCTGGTCAGTCCTGCTTTCAAAAGGATCTTAATAAAATAAAATCAGGTAACTCAGACCCAACACTAAACCTGGAGACACTTCTTCAAGGAAATAAAATCCACGCTCATTTTCCCCAGAGCTTCTAGCTGGGAGCCAGGGCAGACAGGGTCATTTAAACCAGGTCATCCAAAGCCCCTTCTGGGAGGGGTGTTATCCTCACAGAAGCTATCCACCACTACCCAGAAGGGTGATGAACCCAAGTGGAGAAGGAATACCAGAGACTGTCCTGAGGTCATGGGACGCCAGCTAAATCAGCCTTGTCAGGGAGGGGGTGGGGAGTAGGGATGTCAGCGCCAAGCTCTAGTCCTTCCCTGCAGTCGACCTCCTCTGCCAGCAGATCCATCCTGAGACGCTCTCTCACAGCTGTGCTCATGCCTGACCGGCTTGTGCGCAAATAGTTCCCTCCTAGTGCGCTCTCCCAGCGTTATTTGTGCTCACGAGTGCACACTGGTGTGTGTGTGTCTGTGTGTGTGTGTGTGTGTGTGTGTGTGTGTGTGCATACATGTGGAGGTCAGAAAATAACCCTAGGTGTAATTCCTCAAGTGCTGCTGTCTTAGTTACTGTTCTACTGCTGTGATGAAACACCATGACGATAGCAACTGAGAAAAGGATGCATTTAATTGGGAGCTTACTTGCCATTTCGAAAGGTTAGTCCGTTATCATGATGTTGAGGAGCATGGTTGCAGGCAATGTAGGCAGGGCGCCGGAGAAGCCTCCGACTGAGAGCTTGCGGCCCGAGCTGAAGACAGGAGGCAGACAGAAACCTCAAACC